AAAAAAAAAAAAAAGAATCCCAGTCAAAATCCTAAGGCTTTTTTGTTAGAAATTGACAACTGATTCTTAAGTTCATATGGAAATTCAAAAGACCAAGAACAGCAAAACAACTTTGATAAAGAATGAAGTTGAAGGACTAACACTACCTGATTTCAAGACTTACTGTAAAGCTATGGTAATCAAGACAGTATGGCATTTATATAAAGATAAACAAATAGATCAATAGAATAGGGAGTTCAGAAATAGATCCAAATGCACAACTGATTTGTGACAAAGATGCAAAGGCAATTCAGTAAAGAAAGGATAGTCCTTTCAACAAAAGGTGCTGGAACAATTTGATATTCATAGGCAAAAAAATGAGCTCTTTGATCCAGGCTTGTACCATATACAAAAATTAACTCAAACTAGAACCCGAATCTAAACATAAAACACAAAGCTAGAAAACTAGAAGAAGACACAGGATTAAATCCTTGTGACCTTGGGTTAAGCAAAGATTCCTTAGACATGACACCAAAAGCACAATCCATAAAAGAAAAATTTGATATTTTAGACTTCATCAAAATTCAAAACTGCTCTTTGAAAGATACTCTTAAGATAATAAGAAGACAAGCCATGCAGTGGGACTTGCAAACTCAGATAAAGGACTTATTTCTAGAATATTAAAAACGCTCAAAGTTTAATTACAAAAACAATTTTTTAAAATGGACATAAAATTTGAAAAGGCATTTCACTGAAGATATACAATGGTGAAGAAGCATATGAAAAGACGCTTAATACCACTAGTCGTTAGAGAAATGCAAACTAAAACCACCAAGAGTTACCTACTAGAATGGCTAAGAAATGACCAAGTGTGGCGAGCGTGTAGAGGAACTGACACTCCCGTACACTGCTAGTGGGAACGCACAACAATACAACCAACTTTGGAACCCAGTGTGGCAGTGTCTTAAAAAGTTAAACATACAGCTGCCATTAGATCAAGCCATTCCACTCCTAGGTTTACCCAAGAAAATTAAAGCACATGCCCACAGAACAACTTCTACATCGA